GGGGGCGCAGACGGGGGGGTTGGGGGCGGGGGGCGCAGCAGCGCTCCCGCCGCAGGTTCGTATCCTATATAGGGATGACCGGTGCGCTCACAGCGCTCACTGGCTGAGCGTGGTGCAGCCGGTCTCAAAAAGGAAAAAAAAAAAAAAAAACAAGAAAAGGGAGATCCTCCCTCCCCAGCCGAGATTAATTTAAAATTAATTTTAAAAACCCTAAACCAAACCAAAACACCCTTTTCCTTGACTGAGCCTCAAAAAAAAGTAAAATTTCTATAGGTAAAAATGCTATTACTGAAAGTAAGAGGGTAATGAATGACTAAAATCAGAAAGACCCAACTAGAATTTTGGCTCAGCCACCCCCTTACATGCAGTCTAAGCTTCAGTTTCCCCATTTGTAAAAGAGGATAACAACAGAACTTACACTCAAATGACGTTGTTGTGAGGATTCATGAGATTACACACAATAAGTCCTTAGTCTAAGGGCTTGCTAGATGCCAAGTAATTAATGCTAGCCATTGATTCATTCATTATTAATTCAAGAAATAGTCACAGAGTACTTATTTCATGCCAGGCCCTGTTTTAGGTGACAGTGACATTCCTTATTGCTAATATCTCTTCTTTTTTTGGTAACTTTTCCTACAATGTAAGCATTAAACACAGTGCAAGAGTGCAACTGCAGTTAATTAAGCTCATAACTCAACGGTTTTGATAAGCGGAAAAAAGATTCTACACAAGATTGTGTGTTTGGGGCAATTAACTCAAATTTAACCTTTTGACGGAAAAGAAACTTCAAACTTAAGAAAAATAAACTGAACACCTGAGATGTGACAAAAAGAGCTGCAAATGAACAAAGTTGTGGTGATGATTTGTGGGAGAATCTTTCCTTACTGAACATGCTGGCACAGGTCACTGACTTGTTAAATTCAGTATTTATTAAAGTACAATTAATGCATGGAGGAAAAGGCACAGAAAAACAGGGGACATTAACACCAAAGGCATTATTCATCTTTTAATCTAGAAAAAGGTTTCTGGTCATTTGAGGTTTTTTTTTTTTTTTTTTTTTTGGTAACATTATTTTGAAAAAATTTCAAACCTACTAAACAGCAGGCAAGAATAGTACACTGAAATCCCACATAACTTCATCAAGATTCTTCAAGAGTTAATGCTCTACACGGATGCCTTATTATCTATCTATTGTCATTTGAGATTTTAAGGCTTTTCCTCCTTCCCTTTAATATATTTTTGGCTCAGGTATCAAGCAGTCCTAGTTTTCCCTCTTTGCCCTTAACAGTTGAGCAAGATTATTGTATGGTCTTAATTATTTGCTACTGGAGTGTCCTTAAAAAACTCTCAAGTAATTAAATATCAGGATTTAAAGATAAGTACAGAAATGGGACCAAGGGAGTTAACAGAGACTCAAGTACAGTTTATACACCAAATACCAGTTAAATGACTGCTGATATCAGTTGTCAGGCTAGAAAGATTAAAAGGGAGAGTAACTTTTTAAAAAGAGAAAGTGCAGATGCGGTATCAGAAAATGGGGGTGAGGTACTGGTTCAACCTTAAAATTTCAGAAGGTGGTTTCCCTATTCTCTATTATGTTGGAATACATCCTCAGTTGCACTCACATACCTCATCTACAGACTGTCAATGTGCTGAAATTGCTTTGCACTCACACTATGAAGTTAATAATCAAAGTACTCATTGAATCTTTTCACATAAACCCAAGACTAAAATACGTTAGAATTTCCTGCCATTAACAATTCATATTACTTCCCCAGGAAACAACAAAAATCTGAAACTCATATTAATCAGACTCCATTGCAATCAGGTTCCTTAGATACAGACTGCTCAGCACTGTAAGACACTTAACTCTAGTCAATCAATCACTCGGGTCAACTAGAAACACTGAGTCCTTCACAAATGCTTAAGAGATAGATGCCACTGTGTCTTGGACCTGTTCTCATTTGGCTTTTCAAACTTTAGCAGTATGATGTGGAAGGGACTCAGGTTTTGGGATAAGAAGAGATGAGACTGAATTCAAACTACACTATTTATTGGTTGTGTGACTTGCAAGTCCTCTCAACCAAGTCTCCTTCCTCATCTGAAATGCAGGGATAACAGGGCTACTTCACATAGGGTTGTTCCAAGGGTTAGATGAAGTAATGTGAATAAACACCTGTAGGCTATTAAGCATTTTACAGATATCAGCTTTCT